TATAAAGCCAAGGTATAAACTTGTTGTGGCAAGAAGGAAAATTGGGAACTATTTGATATCTCAGGGTTTATAACATTATTACATTCTGAATTACATACTGAAAATCTCTCATTTATGGCCTATAAAGGGTAGAAATTTCTTGTTGTGACTCTCCTATTTGTCACCATTTGTCCCCCCAGATTAGTGGTTTTGTCATTGCTTGCCCATGTCCTTCTTCTTCTAGCTTGTGTATCTTTTGCTTGTATTATGTCCCACTTTCTCTCTCTCTCTCTTTCTCTCTCTCTTTCTCTGTCTCTCCTGATGCTCTAATGCTGACAAAGAGAGCAGGATCAAAACTATTTTCTTACAAGAAGTCTTTTTTAATTATCCTTACCTTTGCTAGAAGTCTCTTTTCTTTTTTTTTTTTTAACCAGAATGACCTGTTTTTCAAGGAAAAATGAAATGTTCTATCTTCTCTTTATCTAGTTTAATGTCTGAGCCATATTTTGATGACATTCTGTTACATGCAATAATATAGCAATAAGTTAACACAGTTCATATAGGGAAGGGTGTATGATCGTTTCACATTGATGGAAGAAGGCTAGATGAGCAAATGTATTTGCTGTAATTCTGTCATTTTGTTGTTAAAGTTCATATTTTTTATTAACTTGTGACTATTTTTTACCTGAAGTTATTATTCTGTCAAAAGGCAGAGATTGAATAATATACAAATTTCCAATAGCAGTACAAGTGAGTTGGTGTCTTTAAAAAATATACATACTTAGAGATAAATTCACTCAATATAAGAAATAGCAGGACTGTTAATGATTTGATGCTTGTTACAACTTTTGTGTAAACTTTCCTTTTAGCCTTACTGTACGCATAATCTCCTTGTGTAGTCATTAGATACCAAAATTATCATCATTGAACTTTTACAGATAATCACTCACCTGGAGATACATAGAGTTTTAGAATATATCTCTGCCCATTAGGTGACTTGAAATCCATATAGGAAAGTGTATACCTCAAATGTTAGAGCATTAAGGTTATTTATCAGCTATAATAATTATTGAACATCTATAATGCAAGGATTGTGGGTGAGGTTAAAGATTTTTAAAAATCAATGCTATCAAAGCACTATCAACTTATTGACTAATAAGTGTTTTGAAAAGATTGCAGCTATAATATTTGTAAGAGTTTGGAACAGGAAGTCACATATGAGTAGGTAAGATAAGAAATTTTGCAGAAAGTTTTGGTCAGATATGATAGTGGCTTAGACGAGGATTGTAGCATATAGATGCAGAGCAGTGGGAAGACTGAGAAAATACTTCAAAGAAACAACATCAAGAGGACTTCACGTGGTTTGAATATGAGGCAGAAGAGGTGCCAAGAAGAATTTTCACTTTTTTTCATTGTGAAGCCACATTCCGTGTGCACAGCTTTGAGCTCAAGTGACATTTGGAGTGCCTTTGAGATACACAAAAGACATGACAAGGAGGATACCAGTTTCCAGATCATAGAGAAAAGATTTGGGTTGGTAATTTTGCAATGCAAACTTCTGCTTCTGGGAAAATGAAACAGGCATATTTTTTTCTGTGTTTCTCCCACTCAGTGTACCAGAAACTTTGTTAATCATTTATAAAGCCAACATAAGCTGATGGAGATGTACAATGGTACAGCCACATTGGAAAACCACTCTGCAGACTCTTAACTGAGCTGGGGGTAAGAGGAAAGGGGGTGTGGCTACCAGAGGACAACGTGACAGCTCCTGGTGGTGATTTAACTGTTCTGTACCTTGCTGGTATTAATGTCAATACTCTGGTGGTGATAAATGTAATCTAATTCTATGCGATGTTACCACTGGGAAGACTGGCAAAGGGCTCATGGAATCACTTTGTATTACTTCATATGACTGCAGGTGAATCTACAATTACTTCAAAATAAGTAACTTTGCAACAATAGAAAACAAATGATAATGTATTATATGGTATATTATACAGCAATGGAAATGAATAAATTCAAGTTTAATGCAATAATATGGATAAA